CAGACAGCCCTCGTGTAGCTTTGCGCGAAATCCAAAACAAACAAACAAACATTTTCAAATTATAACTATTATTTCTTGGCACTTGTGTATAATGTTAAAATAATAAATAACACACAACGTTAAAATATGTACACAGTTAAAACATTTTAATTTAGGTCAATATACGGCGACTGAAAATTGTTTCGACGTTGCAAAATTGCACTCCTGAAGATGACGTTGCAACGTCGAAACATGTAGAGTCAACTTTTTACTGGTCGTATATTGACCTTAATTTTTTTTATTATGTACCTATTTTAACATTGTGTGTTATTTCTTATTTAAAATTATATTTGCAAAACTGCTGACATAGAAAAAAATCATCTTACAAAAGTACTAATCTCTGGTGATACTGTTTACTCACTAACTGTTGATTTAACATATATAATTGCCACTGAATGTAGCGCCCCCCAGTGGCTCAGTGATAAGTACGAAGGCTGTAAATTAATATTTTGTTGAACTGGATAATCCTGTGAAACACATCTTATTTTGCTTATAACGAATACTATTTGTTTAATAGCTCTATATTTATATAATTTTAAAGAATGATAAATAAATCAAGCCATAAGTTATCTCAGCGACGATGAAACCGGTGTTTTTGAAACCTGAAGATTGATTAATTCTTATGTTTATAGTAAGCTATTATGATTGTATACACAAATAAAGAGATCCATAGAAACAATGTTGTTTTTTGTGTATTTGATAATACTTTAAAACCTACTAAATGTTCTACTAAAGAATCGGAGGCAAACATTACGCTTGACGCACGATTGTTGAGTTGTTGTACTTACAAACCAAAACACAAAAGTGTTTAAACTAGAGTACATCGGCAATATAAAAATAGTGCTAAGTGCATTTTCTCATACTTTATTAATTTTTAAATACGGATAAACAAATAAATATATTAAAAATCCTCTTTCTTAAAATCATTATGTGTGGCTGGGGTTACCTAGCTTCGTCAGATGTCAGGTTTAGAATAAAAAACGTATTACAGTTCAAACTGTCACGTGTTACAAAATCAGTAACTATGCTACATCATTAAACTTTAATACAGTAAAAATCGACAACAGCTATCTAATGAAAATAAAAATTAGAATGAATATAATCTTACACCTATATATTTGTTGATGTTAGGTTAGATAAAGAGAGCTACGATTTATACTGTTTTCTTTGCCAGTGATTTCAACATCTTAAAAAATCCACATGAGGGAGCTTTGAAATCTTCTTTCAATTTCGTTGATTGTTGTTGGTTAATTTCTCTGACCTAAGAACTATCAGAGTATTTAAATTTAATTTGACACACTGTTTGCTTGTTTCAAGTTAAGTACAAAGCCACACAATGGGCTATCTGTACTCTGCTCACCTTGGGTATCGAAACCCAGTTTCTTGCGTTGCAAGTCCGCAGACATACCGCTGTACCACTGGGGGGCAAATTATTCTGGGTACATACTTGTGTGTGTGTGTTGTTATAGCAAAGCCACATCGGGCTATCTGCTGTGTCCACCGAAGGGAATCGAACTCATGATTTTAACGTTGTAAATCCGAAGACTTACCGCTGTCCCCCCCAGGGGACTTTCATACACTGATCCTGAAAGAAGCTGGATGGATAGCCAATTGGGTATTTTTGTGCTTAACGACCAGAAAAAAGTATAGCTCTGCCCACCACAGGTATCGAAACCCGATTTGTAGCGTTATAAGCTACTAAACTTAACACTGAGTCACTTGGTAGAAAAGATAATTTTACATATCACACTCTTTGAATAGTTGTAAACCACATTCTCTGGACAGAATATGAAAATTTAGGGATGTTTTTAACACACAATAGAAAGATAGGTTTTCTAAATTTATATTTTTCGTGTCTTCGCCCTGTAATTCAGATAAAGTTCTATCTTCCACTTTGGAAGGATACTTGTTGTGTCATACAAGCTGAGATTTTAGCACAGCTTTAACACAGAGGTTTTTAAACATACTTACTTGTTTATATATAAATAATTAATCGACTTTGATAAGCTCTTCCTATAAATTATTTTTTCTCACTGTTATACACCCTACCCACATTTGTAACGGATTTTTTATGATGCAGACAGATTTCGCTGGCGAATCGTGATTACAGTCTATCATATTTGACATGAGACAATAGTATTAGGTTCATTGTATTTTTAAACACTACGATAAACCTAATAATTTTGTTATAGAACACATTTCATTGATTATAATCATACTTCGCTAGCAAAAGGCGTTCACACATTAACAAGAATTATACTAACAAACAAACAAACATAACTGATTATAATCACGCTTTGCCAGCAAAGGCGTTCACACATTAACAGTGGTTATTCTAACATACATATATAACTGATTATAATCACGCTTCGCCAGCAAAGGTGTTCATACATTAACAATTGTTATTCTAACAAATTAATAGAACTTATTATAATCACGCTTTGCCAGCAAAGGCGTTCACACATTAACAGTGGTTATTGTGAAGAAGGATGTGTGATAGTATTACAACCACACTATAACCGCCACATCCACTGCCGACGAAGCGTTTCGTTCAATACCAGAACTCATCAGATGAACTGAGATAAAACATATACAACAGCTGTCGGAACGCTATTTATATTCGTCATTTGTTAGAATAACCGCTGTTAATGTGTGAACGCCTTTGCTGGCAAAGCGTGATTATAATCAGTTATATATGTTTGTTAGGGAACCGGATAAAAATGTAGTGTTTAAAAACACCCTTAGCTTACTAATATTGTCTTGTGACAAATACAATTCATTACATTTATAATAGAATTATTGTCGGTTAAAAGTTTTGTTTTTCCTTATCAAAAGGAGTTGAAGAAAACATAAACATTTAAAATTATTAATTTCACAATGAATATGTATTCTGAAGTATTTTCTTCAATAATGTTTGTGTTGTCTGTTTATGTTTGATCCATTATTGCCATTCCTCCTGTGTTGCCTGTTTATGATTGATCAAATAATAATATTCCCCTGAGTTTCCTGTTTATGATTAATCCACTAACTACATTCCCCCGAGTTGCCTGTTTATGATTAGTCTAATAGCGACATTCCTCTCTGAGTTGCCAGTTTATGATTAATCAAATAACGACATTCCTCCCTGAATTGCCAGTTTATGATTAATCTACTAACGACATTTCTCCCTGAATTGCCAGTTTATGATTAATCCACTAACGACATTCCTCCCTGAGTTGCCAGTTTATGATTAATCAAATAACGACATTCCTCCCTGAGTTTCCTGTTTACGATTGATCCAATAATGACATTCCTCCCTGAGTTGCCAGTTTATGATTAGTCCAATAGCGACATTCCTCTCTGGGTTTCCTGTTTATGATTGATCCAATAATGACATTTCTCCCTGAGTTGCCAGTTTATGATTGATCCAATCATGATTAATCAAAAATTCGCAAAACTTGAGTCCTAAAATTTTCAACTACGATTACTTAACAAACATATAGAGCCCGGTGGGACAACGTTAAGTCTTCGGATTTACAACCTTAAAATCATGAATTCGACTTCCCTCGGTGGCCAGAGTAGATAGCCCGATGTGTTTTTTCTATAACAAAATACACACACAAACAAGCATGTACCCAGCATAATTTTACATATTGTTGTTCTGTGTTTCTACGTTTTATTAATATCATTCTAAAATAAGATAATTGCACAGAGTTGTCAATTTCTGTATTTACAAAATTTTCAGCGGCCAAATATTATAAAATCAAACTTAAAGTTTGTAAAAAGCATAAAGATCGGGTAACATTTAAAACAAACCAATGAACAGTAGCGCTCCCTATTGTTTAAATTATCAACTTATATTTCGCGTTGATTGAAAACGAGCAAAATACTCTAAAACCATTTCGGTTTTCCATATAACTAAAATTGCAGAACATGGAAGATTCAATAACTATTTGAAATTCAAACCAAATCGTCCTATAAGTATGATTTCAAGTTTAAAATTCAATTTTCTTTTAGAATTTTGTTTGTTTTCGTTATCTTTTAATATTCTTAAAAGTGGTTCAGAAATCTCGGAAAACAAAACGAAATTTGTACAATCTGATTTGGTTTGTTTCGCACAAAGCTATACAAAGACTGTCCGTGTTAGTCATCCCTAATTTTTAACTGGCATACTATAGGGAAGGCAACTAGTAAACAGCACCCACCGCCAACTCTTGATTTGCTCTAATTGAATAGTGAGATCTGACCGTCACTCTTATAAAACGCGCCCACAACTTCAAGGCGCATAGTAACAAAGGAACATTTTTTGTTGTTTTACGTGCATTATAAATTAAGATTCCTCAACAATTTAGCGGTTGTCTTATAACTTATAACAACGTGGCAAAAAAAACAACAACAATAAATTTGAATAGTAAAGTCTAGGTATGGTCCTAGCCTCTATAGGTAAAATTTTGAACTACTCTGGCTTAGAATGATGCTGGAAAAGACATAAATTCGAATAGAGTACTTTCCTTGATTTTTTAAAATTATACAACAGTTAACACTAAAGAGGGACAGTTTGTACATTTGCAAATTCACTGTAAATATATTTCATTGTTTTCAAACAAGCTCAGTGTACATTTTTTAATAGTGCAAATTTTTCTGTTTCTCTTTGAAGTAATCCAAACATGAATATAAAAATCTAAAACTGGTTTATTCTTTCTGAATGCAACTTTGCGATACACCTAATTTCCACAGTCGCGCTATAACAAAAGCTATAATTCACAACAAACGTCTCACGTGCTCGACTCAACTGTCAATTACACATTACATTAATGCCGTCACGTCTTTACCGTCTTATATATACAAGACTACCGCATATCTAGTAGGCTCTCGAGCATTCAGGAAGGGACGTGAACGTTCGAGAAGAGCAT